GTACCGGTTGGCTAAAAACAAACATAAAGAGAAGCGTTTCTACGCTGAGGGACAGCCGGTCGCATTACGATCCTTAAATTGCTGCAGATGAGAGGACACGTCCCGCAAAGAAGATAGAAGACTAATGAAAGTAGTTTGTGCTAAATGGGGGGATCTGATAACTCGATCTATTCTTAGTTTTTATTTTTTTTTTAATTTTTAGATAAAGGATTCGAAGTGCAGGTGCAGCAAGATAATAGAATAAATGAATAATTTATCAGATTCACTTTGAATATAACTTTTAGTAACGTTTAGTAAATTTTTCATTTTTATAGATCCAACTTACTTTTGTCTCGAAAAATCTTTAGATATGCACATACTGAAGTATCCTTTTTATTCGACTTTCAGAAAGAAACGAAATTCAGTCGTAAGAACTTTGGAATATCGCACTAAGAGAAAGTGTTTGATATCTATGACTATAATTACACGGTAAAATAATTATGGTATAAATTATAGTTGTTTTCAGTGTCAACAATACTATATACTTTTTGGTATATAGAACTATAAATAATATATACGAACTTTATGTATTCACTTACTGTCGTTTACTATAACTATAATTATGATTATCATTTCACCACGCAATTAGTCACAAATAACAAACACTTTTTCTCAGTATGTTTTATCTAAATCAGGTTCGAAGGATTGGTAAGAAAGATAGCCTAATAGCCTAATTCTTGTCGATCGTGTTCAGATACAAATTCCAGCTAATATTTCAAAGAAGCTTCTGCTTGGTTCACCGTTCAGATATCGTCGGTATTACTTGTATCTTTTGTAGGGACATCAACAAATAGAGATACAGCTTGAAAAGCCAGACCACACAAATCGGAAATCCTATTTTTTTTACATGTCCGTTAGGTTATTAACTCCTACTTTCACACAAGCCGCGTCTATTTCAACATTTCATACTTAAGATAAGTCTATCTGTGAATTAGCATGTTAATTAGACAATGTATAATACATGAGCGGCGCACACTTGTTAATTTCATTTCTCTCCATTTTCGGACAATTCTGTATATCTTTTTAGGCGTTATTATGTGTGGATTAACTATAGAAAGCAAAGATAAAATACAAAATTTATGACAAGTTCTCTTCGTCGGTAACTTTGAAAGTGCTTTTTCATGTGTTATAGCTAAGAAAATTAATAAACATTTCTGGTAATGTGCAACACAAATATTTTTCCGCTTATATAGTGAATTTGCTGTTTGCTAATTCCTTCTTTACGCTGTCATTTAACTGTGCGTCTGTTACGGTATTATCATGTTTTATTTGCCGTATACATTCTTATTCTCACGGAGCTTTCCCTAAAAACAACAAAGTACTCAGTCTACTTATTTTTCACATGCTCGTGTGTGCAGTGAGAAAAAAAATTTTGTACTTGTGACTACAATTACATATTGATTATAATTATTACTGTTATAATGTTAGTAATAATAATTATACGTGTAGTTCTGTCAACAAATATACATATATAGTTGACAACCGAAAATGACTATAATTATAGTCATTACATATTACCATGAAAATGATTGCAATATTACTATAATTTAATTATAATTTATAGTCATTTTTCTAGGGATATAAAATGTAACTATAAAAATAGACTATATAAAATATGATAAAAAAAGACTATAAATTGTAGTTAAATTATACATATAGTAATTGCAATCATTTTTATGATAACAGCTCATCTTCGGTCATTTGTATAGTATTTTTTAATATATACAAACTATATATACATAGTTGGAAAAAATGTGTTGAATTTAACATAAACCGCATGTCCCAAACGGCCCACTTAAATTTTTGAATTAATTTTACACAAGATGAATATGTTAGAAGGTAACACAAATATTATGTAAGAGAATAAATACAAAGAAAGATAATATCGACACAGTTTGTAAACATACCGTGGGAACATATTTTTTTTTCAGAAAATTAACATTTATGATATGTTAACACATATTTTTTTCATTTGTCTTAGAATTTACGTTTTACAATAAAACACATTATTTTTATGTTGCTTGTTCACTTGCTCATAAATTGTGTCATTTTGACACTAAGAGACATTGAATATCAATTTCACAAAAAATCTTTAAATAATATAATCACGTTATGTTAAATTAACACTCGAATATGTTAAAAAATTCAACACAAACGTGAGTAAACCATTTTCAACACAAATATACAAATTTTTTTACTGTGTGTATATATATTATATACACACATATATATATATATAGTCATTACTGATATTATAGCAGTAATAGTCATAATTATGATAACATCTAATTATAGTCACAAATACCAAAAATATTTTCTCAGTATTATTTAAAGTAAGCCATATCTTACCGATGTTAACATAATTGCAATCGTCTTAGTTATGTCAAAAATTCGGATTATCGCGGCTCACAGTTTCAACCTTCATCCGTAATAGCGTCCATTACGAATAGCGCGCGGCTGAAAAACACAGATGTTCTCGTCGGATTGTGGGCACGTGTAATTGAGTCCATTCGTGAGGGATGTAACATGGCGATTCATCCGTACGTGCGCGACACGCCTCTTCCGCGAAGCCGACCGAGTTCCCTTGATGGACCCAGTCCTTTAAGTAGACCTTTAAGATTTTCCCGTGGTAGAGGTGCGATCAGCGAGAGCACGTTCTCGCGGAGTTTACCGCAAAAACTGTCATACGAGAGAGGAGGCGAGGCGAGGATTTCGCTCAATGGATGGCAACAATCACGCAAAAACCACTGAGGGAATGTCGCTCGGCGTTAAATAAGACTCATAAAGAAAGGACGGCGATATTCGAGTGACGGTCAGAGCAAACGTACCGTGTCTTATTGCGGATTATTCGATTAACTCTGTGTTCTGTTCCGACGAAGCTTATAGGCATCGGGATTAGTCCACATTGTCCGGTAATAACGCGTGGAATCATCGTCGGACTTTTCTAATATCAAACGCGTACCAAATTTACGCTTATAGACTTTCTCCTCAAGATTGCGACACGCAACACGGGATT